TATAAAATTTCTCCTAAAATGTATCTGAACCCTAAACCTTGCAGCTTATTAGTCCATAGACCTGATTTAGAGTATTGTGTCCAGTTCCGGAGACCTCTATTACAAAAACAGAATAACAAGATAGAAAGAGTCCAGAGATGGGCAACACAAATGGTGAAAGGTTTGAGAGATAAAACATATCAGGAGAGTCTACAGGGACTTAATAAGAATAGTCTTAAGGAAGGAAAGGAAAGGAAAGGGGAGAGTTGACTGAAACATTTATATACAGGGTATGAATAATGTTTAGGAGGATAGTATCCTAAAGCCAAGAACATGGAACAGATCCTCAAACTAACTGGAGGAAAGTTCAAAGCTATTAGTATTAGTTTACTGAAAGAGTACCTGATGCTTGGAACAGACTTCCAGCAGAACCAGTCAGTAAACAGTAGGCACATTTATACATGTTTGGGATAAACAATGACCTATACTTCAACATAAAGGTAAAAAAAAAAACAGGCCAGACTTGATGGACCACTTGGTCTTTTTCTGCCTTCACATTTCTAGTTTTTCAGTAATAAATCTCTAATGACAGTATGTTGGAGTTCTGATTTCGATGTGTGATGACAGCCAAACAAGAAATGTTTTATACTGCACCCGCAATATCCCAAAAGATTTCATTAATCTGAAAGAAGAAATGTCTGATACAGTTTTAAATGGCCCACAGCGACCAATTGTGTTACCAAGTAAGAAAGCCATTCTCAAGAGAACATCTTCTTGGGACCCATGGAGTAAAGCCACTTAACAATGCTCCTATATCAGGAGGATCCAGTATCTTCACGACGGCACTTCACTCCATATAAAAAATAAAATTTCTCCTAAAATGTATCTGAACCCTAAACCTTGCAGCTTATTAGTCCATAGACCTGATTTAGAGTATTGTGTCCAGTTCCGGAGACCTCTATTACAAAAACAGAATAACAAGACAGAAAGGGGTTTATTTACTAAAGCTGGAGAATCCAAAATCAGACTCCCTTCTGCATAGAAACCAATCAGCTTCTAACCTCAGCTTGTTCAATGAAGCTTTGGCAATGAAACCTGGAAGCTGATTGGTTTCTATGCAGAAGTGAGTCTGATTTTGGACTCTCCAGCTTTAGTAAATAAACCCCAAAGAGTCCAGAGATGGGCAACACAAATGGTGAAAGGTTTGGGAGATAAAACGTATCAGGAGAGTCTACAGGGACTTAATAAGAATAGTCTTAAGGAAGGAAAGGGGAGAGTTGATTGGAACATTTATATACAGGGTATGAATAATGTTTAGGAGGATAGTATCCTAAAGTCAAGAACATGGGACAGGACCTCAAACTAACTGGAGGAAAATTCAAAGCTATTAGTATTATTTTACTGAAAGAGTACCTGATGCTTGGAACAGACTTCCAGCAGAAGCAGTCAGTAAACAGTAGGCACATTTATACATGTTTGGGATAAACAATGACCTATACTTCAACATAAAGGTAAAAAAAAACAGGCCAGACTTGATGGACCACTTGGTCTTTTTCTGCCTTCACATTTCTAGTTTTCTACTAATAAACCTTTGATGACAGTATGTTGGAGTTCTAATTTCAATGTGTGATGACAGCCAAACAAGAAATGTTTTATACTGCACCTAAAATAACCCAAAATATTTCATTAATCTGAAAGAAGAAATGTCTGATACAGTCTTAAATGGCCCACAGCGACCAATTGTGTTAACAAGTAAGAAAGCCATTCTCAGGAGAACATCTTCTTGGGACCCATTATTATTATTATTGCATCGAGTTTATATAGCGCCAAAGGGTTTGCTCAGCACTGTACAATGGGACCCATGAAGTAAAGCCACTTAACAATGCTCCTATATCAGGAGGATCCAGTATCTTCACGACCGCACTTCACTCCATATAAAATTTCTCCTAAAATGTATCTGAACCCTGTACCTTGCAGCTTATTAGTCCATAGACCTGATTTAGAGTATTGTGTCCAGTTCCGGAGACCTCTATTACAAAAACAGAATAACAAGATAGAAAGAGTCCAGAGATGGGCAACACAAATGGTGAAAGGTTTGGGAGATAAAACATATCAGGAGAGTCTACAGGGACTTAATAAGAATAGTCTTAAGGAAGGAAAGGAAAGGGGAGAGTTGACTGAAACATTTATATACAGGGTATGAATAATGTTTGGGAGGATAGTATCCTAAAGCCAAGAACATGGGACAGAACCTCAAACTAACTGGAGGAAAGTTCAAAGCTATTAGTATTATTTTACCAAAAGAGTACCTGATGCTTGGAACAGACTTCCAGCAGAAGTAGTCAGTAAACAGTAGGCACATTTATACATGTTTGGGATAAACAATGACCTATACTTCAACATAAAGGTAAAAAAAAAAACAGGCCAGACTTGATGGACCACTTGGTCTTTTTCTGCCTTCACATTTCTAGTTTTCTACTAATAAACCTTTTATGACAGTATGCAGGAGTTCTAATTTCAATGTGTGATGACAGCCAAACAAGAAATGTTTTATACTGCACCTAAAATAACCCAAAATATTTCATTAATCTGAAAGAAGAAATGTCTGATACAGTTTTAAATGGCCCACAGCGACCAATTGTGTTACCAAGTAAGAAAGCCATTCTCAAGAGAACATCTTCTAGGGACCCATGGAGTAAAGCCACTTAACAATGCTCCTATATCAGGAGGATCCAGTATCTTCACGACGGCACTTCACTCCATATAAAATTTCTCCTAAAATGTATCTGAACCCTAAACCTTGCAGCTTATTAGTCCATAGACCTGATTTAGAGTATTGTGTCCAGTTCCGGAGACCTCTATTACAAAAACAGAATAACAAGATAGAAAGAGTCCAGAGATGGGCAACACAAATGGTGAAAGGTTTGAGAGATAAAACATATCAGGAGAGTCTACAGGGACTTAATAAGAATAGTCTTAAGGAAGAAAAAGGAAAGGAAAGGGGAGAGTTGACTGAAACATTTATATACAGGGTATGAATAATGTTTAGGAGGATAGTATCCTAAAGCCAAGAACATGGAACAGAACCTCAAACTAACTGGAGGAAAGTTCAAAGCTATTAGTATTAGTTTACTGAAAGAGTACCTGATGCTTGGAACAGACTTCCAGCAGAACCAGTCAGTAAACAGTAGGCACATTTATACATGTTTGGGATAAACAATGACCTATACTTCAACATAAAGGTAAAAAAAAAAACAGGCCAGACTTGATGGACCACTTGGTCTTTTTCTGCCTTCACATTTCTAGTTTTTCAGTAATAAATCTCTAATGACAGTATGTTGGAGTTCTGATTTCGATGTGTGATGACAGCCAAACAAGAAATGTTTTATACTGCACCCGCAATATCCCAAAAGATTTCATTAATCTGAAAGAAGAAATGTCTGAGACAGTCTTAAATGGCCCACAGTGAACAATTGTGTTAACAAGTAAGAAAGCCATTTTCAACAGAACATCTTCTTGGGACCCATGGAGTGAAGCCACCTAACAATGATTCTATATCAGGAGGATCCAGTATCTTCATGACCACACTTCACTCCATATAAAATTTCTCCTAAAATGTATCTGAACCCTAAACCTTGCAGCTTATTAGTCCATAGATTTGGTGGCTGCATATGTTTCCTTTTTTTAGACCATTTCCCTTTATTTTTTACCTTCTTTCAGTAACACACTTGCCCTAGGGTTACAGCTCTCACTCGCTGTCCTGTATCTAAGGAGTAGTAACATTGTCACCCTATGACAGGGCTACAGAACACCTTCTCCCTTCATATCTCCATAACATAGGAAGAAGCTGTCTTGTAGTGTACAGACATTGCTGGGAACAATGCTAAAAGATAAGAAGTCAGAACGACCAGAGAGCAAGGGGATGTTTTTTGCTCAGAGCTCCATTTCTGGATGCATCAGCGAGTATTTTTGCACTTATCAAACAGATATAACAAAGCTCTTTCAATGGCATATTTCACAGGCCAAAAAAGAAGAAAAAAAAAGTTAATTGTTAGGGTTTACATGTACATTACAACACTTTAAGCTATATCCAGCGGCGGACTGACAACTCATGGGGCCCCCGGGCAATAGGGGATCATGGGGCCCCTGTGTCCTTACCCAAACTCAAAAAGCCTATGAAAAAGGTACCAGGGGCATCTCATGGGGCCCCCTACTGACCCCTGGCCCTCGGGCAGTGCCCGAGTTTCCAAATGGTCAGTCCACCCCTGGCTATATCCCACAGTCATCACTGAAATGTTATGTTATGTCCTGTCGTCATCACATTTAAATCTTCCATGAAAAAATGGTGGTTAAAGACCAAAGCTGCCATTTTCTTGCATATTATAAGACATCAAGGAGCATTTAATTCGGAGATTGTCTTAAATACTCATGATTTCCCCTCAATCTTGGCCACAAATGTGTCTTTGATGATCCTTCAGCCATGCATGGTAACTGGAAGGGAGGTAGTCTACTCCACCAGAAATAGATATCAACTCCTTGTAGTCCTCAATGGTGGCCAGTACAAAATCTAAGTGTGTAATGAATGATTCCGACATGTTGAAAGATGAGTGGCAGCTGTCCAAGAGAAATATACATGAATGAGAATCGTTCAACAGATGCATCACTCTTTATTACGCTGCATCTTGTTAGCATCCTGTAGAGCAGAGGATTATTAAGATACTCCATTTTGGCATCTTGTGTAGTTGATGTGACCAGATATGTGAGCCGCACAGAGGAGACTAGACTTGAGGGCTAGTTCACACCAGAACGCTGTGCGAAAATCCTGCATTCCATGCACATTTCCCACACCATGTTAAAAACACTACAGATGCAATCTGCAGCTGGTGTCAATAGTAAGCAATGCCATTCCAAAAGCAGGTCGTAAACACAGTGAGTTTGCCCACATTGGATCACATGCAGGGGCGGGCTGACCATTTGGAAACTCGAGCACTGCCCGAGGGCCCTGGGTCAGTAGGGGGCACCATGAGATGCCCCTGCTACCTTTTTCATAGGCTTTTTTGAGTTTGGGCAAGGACACAGGGGCCCCATGATCCCCTATTGCCAGGGGGCCCCATGAGTTGTCAGTCCGCCCCTGATCACGTGGTACTAAAGTACCATATGATCCGGTTACAGTGCATTTCTGAACGTAGTTCATGCACTACTTTTGGTGTGGTGTGATGAAGTGCGATTTTAGCCCATTCAAAATGAATGGAACCGTACTGCACAGAGCTACATATAAATCGCACAGAAATGCAAAGCGCATTCCTGTGCAATTCCTGTGGGGGCATGGTGTAAACTTACCCTGAAACTAAGTGCAAAAAAAAAAAGATGTTTATTGAACACTCAACACAGGTGAAAAATATTATTAAAACAGCAACCTATATAACACACATACAAAAATACAAACCAACTAACCTATGTAACTATATATAAATAGGGGACGAGAAGTTATCAGGTAAAGCAGAGCCAGGAGGGGATACATGAATCAGTGGGTCAAACAGGTCAGGAACACGGCCAGTATGAGTGTCAGGTTTATGGGGTATAGGTACAGGTGGCAGGATAGGATCAGGAGGTTCACACAGAGCAGGTACAAGTGGTAGGATCAGGATCACAGGATTCAATGAACACCTAACAGAGCATAGGATCACAGGTAAAAAATATAAATGTGTGGTGCTGTGGTGTTGTGGCGCTGACAGCCAACTGAGGCGGAGATTAATACCCTCTCAGCAGCCAGCATTTGGTGAAGACTAATTCCTGGGACTTTCTAACTGCTCGAAGATTCTTCAGTCTCTTCCCCCCAGTTATCAGACTATACATTGTAACTTTTTAGCAATTCACGAGTCAAGAGGCTGCAGCAGGGGGCTGATATGTGTGAGACAACTCATGCACACGTAGCCCAGAACACAAAGTCATCTGGATTCACATTACTGTGACATCCACAGGAAGAATTTTAGTCCAGAAAGTAGGTGATGAAAATGGAAGATTGAAGAATGAAAATGGCTCCATCTTATTGGACAGAAAAGCAGATGAAGGCATTGTCAGTGTAAATGCTCTGATCTGTGTGAGAAGAAAGACTCATCTGGAGGTGTGACAGTTATTATTATTTATTATTATTATACAGTATTTATAAAGCGCCAATAGTTCGCTCAGCGCTGTACATTACAAAGGGGGACAGAACATGTGACAGAACAATACCAATACAATGCAAAACATGAGGGGATCGAGGGCCCTGCTCTTTCAAGCTAACAATCTAGGAGGGAGGGGATGGTGGCACAGGAGGAGATAGCTGTGGGGGATGGAGTGGTAGGAATAGTGGAGGAGGTCGGCAAGTTAGCAGGGGGTGGGGTAGGCTTCCCTGAAGAGATGGGTTTTCAGGGTGCGCCTAAAGGAGAGGAGAGTAGGTGATAATCTGATGGGTTGGGGCAGGAAGTTCCAGAGGATGGGTGACACCTGGAGAAGTCCTGGAGGCGGGCATGGGAGGAGGAGACCAGGGAACTAGAGAGAAGGAGGTCTTGTGAGGAGCGGAGTGTGCGTGTTGGGCGGTACTTGGATATTAGGTCAGTGATGTAGTTCGGGGCAGTGTGGTGGACGGCTTTGTACGTCAGTGTTAGGATTTTGAATTTGATCCGTTGCGCAATTGGAAGCCAGTGGAGGGATTGGCAGAGGGGGGTGGCGGAGACGGAGCGGTTGGAAAGGTGAATGAGTCTGGCAGCCGTATTCAGGATGGACTGAAGCGGGGATAGCCAGCGGCGAGGCAGGCCAGTGAGGAGGGAGTTGCAGTAGTCGAGTCGTGATATGATGAGGGAGTGGATGAGCTGTTTAGTGGTTTCTGGGGTTAGGAACGTGCGGATTTTGGCGATGTTGCGGAGGTGGAGTCTGCACGAGCTTGTTAAAGATTGGACTTGGGGTTGAAAGGATAGGTTGGAGTCCAGAATGACACCAAGTACTCTGGCCTGCAGGGCGGGTTCGATGGTAGCGTTGTTGGATGTGATGGAGAAGTCAATGGGGGGTGGTGTCCGGGCTGGGGGGAAGACAAGAAACTCGGATTTGGAGAGGTTCAGTTTAAGGAAGTGGAGGGACATCCAGTCTGATATGTCGCTCAGTAGGTGTGTGATTCGGGCGGAGACTGAGGTGGTGAGGTGGGGGTTGAGAGATAGATTTGTGTGTCGTCGGCATATAGGTGGTAGTTGAAGCCGTGAGAGTGTATGAGTTGGCCAAGGGAGGAGGTGTAGATGGAGAAGAGAAGGGGCCCCAGGACGGAGCCTTGAGGGACCCAACAGAGAGGGGGAGTGAGGGGGAGGTGGGTAGCATTATAGGTAACGCTGAAAGAGCGTTGTGACAGGTAGGATGAGAGCCAGGAGAGAGCAGAATCTCTGAGACCAAGGGAGTGTAGTTTTTTGAGGAGGAGGGGGGTGGTCGACTGTGTCGAAGGCCGCAGAGAGGTCAAGGAGTAGGAGCACTGAATAGTGGCCATTAGCTTTGGCGGTTAGCAGGTCATTGGAGAGTTTAAGTAAGGCAGTTTCAGTGGAGTGTAGGGGACAGAAGCCTGACTGTAGGGGATCGAGGAGGTTGTTGTCATTGAGGTGAGAACTTAGGTGGGTGTAGACTATGCGCTCGAGGAGTTTGGATGTAAATGGGAGCAGGGAGATGGGTCTGAGGTTGTTCGGGTCATTGGGGTCCAGGGAGGGCTTTTTAAGTATGGGGGTGATGTGTGCATGCTTCAGAGGGGAGGGGAAAGTGCCGGAGGAGAGGGAAAGATTAAAGATGTGGGTGAGGGAGCGTAGGATGGAGGGGGAGGGAGGTCGTAGGACTTGTGAGGGGAGTTGTGAGGGGATATGGTCGAGGGGGCAGGTGGTGAGGCGGGCATCAGAGAGGATCTTGGAGACTTCCTCGATGGTAGTAAGGTCAAGTTATACCTAACTCAGCATGCATACCCCTAACATGAAAATATATCACTGGTTCTAGGTCCTCTTTAAGACTTTGTGAAGAAAAAAATATTTCATGTCCATATTTGGTTACTCATCCCCTTTGTTTACATTCCTGCTGTGGGGACCAGGAGGAGTAAGCGAGCAACATGATCAGATGTCTCAGTGAGTTTTTACTTTCAGAGGGTCAGCGTATATCGGTCATCATGATTGATGAGGATCTTCATTTCTAGACAACTTGATTCACAATGGATTTACATCATGGACTTTTTTTTTTTGTTTTAACAAAGTTTCAGTGTGTAAAGGGAGCTTTTGAATGGCTAGAATTGAGCTCCAAGAGCATGAGTCCCTGCACTGCTTCCTCTACTGCTAGAACAGTGATCCTCCTGCTTGAGACTTTAACCTTCTGCCATCTTGTGCCCACTCCATACCATAGACCTCCTCCCAGCATTCCCAGTCATTGACCTTTATATCCCCAAAGGAAGGAATGTTCATTCAAAGATAGGGTTGCTGCACTTTATTGATGGAACTTGGAAGATAGCTCAAACAGTCACAGCACATCGACATACCATCCAGGGGTCACTCATACATTGTAAATCATGTACAGTGGACAGTCTGCAGCAATCACTTGTGAAAGAAACCAGCAGCACAATTAGTACACCATCTTCCATTAAATAGTCTTTCTCTACCCAGGATCATTCGTTCTCGCTGAGATGGGATCTCTGCAGTCATCTCCTCCATGGGTACACCTCTTCCGGGATCATCCATAGGGATAGCCTCACTCCAGGGAACTCTTGGCCTGCCTGAAAGACCTTTTGCAACCTGCCCTAGCCTCCACCTCCATAAGGGTTAGGAAGTCTACAGCCAGCTCTTGTGGGTGCAGGTGTACCTCTCCCTGACCTCCAGCCCTGTCCAGGGCCTCCATTTTCTGGCTATATCTGCCTGATGGTGGGGTCTCTGGCTCCAATGCCCCAACTGCACTAGGGCTCCTCCCAACCTAGCTTATATGTATACACTGACTCACCCATTACATCACTATAGGGGGGCTCTAACTAAGAGGGGTCTAGAACCTGATGACTCTGCTTTCTGCTTGACCAGACACTATACTGTAACAGAGCCACCTAGGGGCAGAGTAGCCACCTGCTTTTTTATGAATTAGTAAGACTATCCCCCAGGGGCGGACTGACAACTCATGGGGCCCCAGGAAATAAGGGATCATGGGGCCCCTGTGTCCTTGCCCAAACTCAAAAAAGCCTATGAAAAAGGTAGCAGGGGCATCTCATGGGGCCCCCTACTGACCCCGGGCCCTCGGGCAGTGCCCCAGTTTTCCAAAGGTCAGTCCGCCCCTGCTATCCCCTATCCCCTATTCATTAACATGGTGGGTGGTCTGCATCTGGGGGCCCACTATATTTTTAAAGGTGTGCTTCCAGATTCTGATAAGTTCCATATCCGCAGAGAGCCACAACAACCGGATCAGGATGCCCTTGACCTAATCAGCATAGGGTATTACCAATGGCAGGAAGCCCTCCCTACGTTGAGGGCATGTGTCCTTTTATGATTCAGGAGGGGGGAGAGCATACTCATTTCACCCCCTTTCCTCACCAGCCAGGCAACATTCTTGGATAAGGGTTCAGTATGGATTTTGGGGGGGAACCCCATGCTTTTTTCTTTTCTTGATTTTTGCATGGGACTTCACGCCATGTTATTTATTTATTTTTGCATGGGGTCCCCCTTAAAATCCAAGCCAATCCAGCAGGGTCTGTTAGGAATCTTTGCAAGGGACCCAACACTATTTTTTTAGTTTGCTTTTCTACATTTATCTGTCAGTTGGGAATCCCCAGAACATTAAGCAGACCTACTGGGTTCTTTGCTTTGCCTTTTCTCTGGATAAACGATTATTTGAAAAGTATATAAATTTCAATAGATTGATCTTGATGGTCTTTGATCTTTTTTTCAGCCTCCCTGACTATGTTACTATATTACCCATGGACGCAAGTGAGGAGAACAAGCTTATTCTACATCATGAGATTCATAATAACATTTGTCTCAGAATGTGACCTCCAACTGTAGGATGTTATCTACTGAGATGATTAAATGAACGGCTGAGCTATTCATATCTTTTTCACTGCTAGGAGCCCTTTATTGCCGCC